AACGTGCTGTGCAAAGGCCGAACTCCCTCGTGTTAGACGTGCCGGGCTCAAAACCGGATGGAAATGGTCTGAATCGTGGGGTTTTTTGTCTTCCCTGTGGCACAGCAGGGCCTGGCCCAGCCCTGTGGCACCCGAAAGGGAGCCAGCACCTTTCCCTGGAGCTGGTGCATAGGGAAAGCCCACTCCTCACAATTAAATAAATCATAAAAATGAGGTCATTCCTACAAATAAAAATTAATTTTCCAAAGCAATTTGTAAAGCACATCCTGAGTCACGTTTGTGTTTTGGGAATTGATGGCTGAAGGGGTAGGAAACAGCTCAGAGCTTCACGGCTTATTTCTGAGGGAAATATTTACGCCTTGGCACAGTTTTGCATCTTTTTCTTTAAAAATATTTACCAGAAGTGACATTTCAGCAACCAATTCGTAAATTTCAAGAGCTTTGGAGAAAAAAACCTGAGCCAACAGAAATGGCTGCACCCCGACCCCAGAGCAGGCCGCAAACCCAGCTCCCCTCAGGGAGCCAGGCCGCGACACAGCCCTGTCCCACTCCTAACGACTATTTAACTAATTAATACTCACCAAAACTGCAGGGGAACATGGTGGTGGTGATCTCAAAGGTTTGAGGTGGCTCTTCCTTGCACCCCATCTCCAGCAAGCCCTTACAGAGGTGGAGCCAGCAGGACAGGTCTGCTCCAGCCTCAGCTCCCAGCAGCCACCTCATCCCTCACCACAGCTGTGGGTGATCCACAATTAGCACTAACGAGCCAGGGCCAGCTGCCCCTCACACCTGGGTTTTAATTCCATCTCCAGAGATGTGTTCTGCCCACCTTCAGAAAGGGGGGGTCCTAAAATAAAAGTGATTTAAAGGTATTTTCTTTGCATTTCACTTCAGCCTCGAGGGCTCCTGCCTGACTCCATTAAGCGTTTCATCACGAGCAACATCCCTACGCCTTCCTCACGCTTCCTACAGTAAATATGGCATCTTTATAACTCTGAAACACTCGCTTCTCCTTTTCTGCTGCCACTCAAAGGCTTTGGGATGAGAAAGGAGAGAGCTGGGATGAGCTGTTGAGGCCGATGCTGCCATCTAAGGTTTGTGCCTGCAAACAGGCTCTGCTCCAGGCAGCGTGAGGAACCATCACACAGCACAAACCATCTCCATCTGACACCACCATGAAGAACGACCCAATTCCCCCCACTTTCAGCCAAATTTCCAGAAGTTGTGGAAGCCGGCAGGTGAATGCACACCTCAGCAGCCAGATCACATCCCCAGGAAAGGTTCAGGTTGTGTAGATTCATTAAATTAATTGGAAAGTTTTGCCTTTTAACCCACAGCACACCTTTGACCCTGTGCACACGGCTCCGCTCGCACAGTGCAGCTGGCAAGTCTTTGCAACTTTTATTGTGCTTAGTACCCAAAACCAGAAGTTTAGTTTGGTAACAGAAGCAGAGGCTCTGCTGAGAGTCTGGAAGGGGAAAAGAAAATAAAACTCTCATGTCATTTCAACAGAAAAGGAATCCGAGAGCGCTGCAGATGTGGATACCACGGATAACACGACTTCTGCTGCTGTTCCTGCACCACTGATGAGGTAAAATTGTTGTTAAATAAACCAGAAGGCAGCTCCCTGGGGTACACCAGAAACTGAGCAGCACAAGCAGAAAAGCCCTCCCACACACAGCAAGGCTGAGACACGCTGATGGACATCAGATAGAACATTGGTAAATGCTTAAAACTCCCAGGTCAACTGAACTCCTCACCTGCAGAGAGAGGATTTGGAAAAAATAAGTCTGGGGAACACAATGGTGGTAGATAGGATGAAGGGAAAGCAGCTTTCTACACTGTCCTACTATTCTTCATGCAGGTGACCCAGTCACAGCACACTCTTGGCCCATCTGCCTGCTTGGGACCCTCCAAAATATAAACTAGCAGCTCCTAACAGTAATCCTCTCAAATACCAAGGGAATGTTTAGTGCTTATTGTCCTATGACCGCATATTACGAAGCACAGTTAGCTCCACCAAAGAGTAAACATGAGCTATGAATCATGGTTTTTCTCATCTCTTTGTTTCTTGCCTCCCTTCCCCCTGCGAGGAAAATCCAGAACCTGTTTAAAAAGCGAGTTATCTTTGTAAAAGTGAGTTTCCTGAGAAAAGCTGCAAAACAATTCCCTAGAAAAAAGACACATCAGAAATTTCAACACCTAAAGGAAAAATCTGCAACAGACAAAATGAAAGTTTGGTTCCAAAATGTTTGTGCAGGTACAAAGCTATCCTGGCAAAAATAAAGAGAATTTCACTGGTCTAACAAGACTTATGAGCCCAGCACATTAAGAGTTTGTTTTAATCGTATTACACTTGGAAATTAAAGCTTTTCCAGCCACATTATTTGGTTACAGGTATCAGAGGCCATGAGCTGAAGGTCAGCCCCTCTCTCTCTGCTGTTTAAGATGTGCTGCTGTTGCAGGCCTGTCCGCTGATCCTGGACAGGATGAGGTGAGGTTTCGCAGGTCCCTTCACACCCCGAGATGCTCATCTCCTTGTCTGCTGATTACAAGACAACTCCCTTCCAGGCTTGAAGCAACAATAATCCTCTTATCAGCTCTGGCGCAGGAAGACAAAAAAGCAACTCATTAAGATCAAACATCTTATTCGTAGTGTACAACTGCAAATTCTTACCCTCTTCTCAAATTTGCGGAACTTTTTATTTTGAAAGAATCAAAATAGAGTTGGACAAGACAGAGGTGACACGTTTACCTGAACCACCTTGCTGTGTCTGCTGTCTTCAAGTCATCACACTGGTGAAGCGACTTGCCCTTTCTCCCCATTAAGCTGGTGTGGAATGACTTGTCATTCTTTCCACTAATGTAAAAATGACTGTTTGGGGAAAAAAAAATTCCAGGAAGTATCACTAACAACAGGCTATCTAAAGATTGGCATAAAATGGATTGTACCAAAGCAATTTTTCACTTGAAGAATCATACTGTGAATTCAAGGCTCATCCATGCTCTTCCTAACTCAGACTTGCCTCTGCAGCACTTATTCTTGCCTACCACTGGCACTCAGAGCAGCACTGAACACGCTGCTTCACTTGCCAGACACCATGTCCCACCATAAAAATGTGAGAGCTGCTTTGTATTACTTTTTATTTCCAGAAAGCTCATTACAGGAACCAAAAGAACTTCTTCACCAGCATTAAAGCCTGTTCTATACCACCAGTACTTTCTTTTTATTCTTCAAATGATAAACAGTAGCAGAGCATATGAAGAAGTACCAGCTCAGATCTCAGCAGTTCAGTCCAAAAGGCATTTCTATTTCCGTGATGATTTGGAAACTTTGAAGAATGCAGAGAATTTTTTCAAAAGCAACATTCCTTACTTTCAAAAAAATCTATTTTGTCTCTGCCCTGGCTGATGAGGTGTCTCCCAGTATCTGTTGTGTGTGTAAGTGCACATGTGCTTTCTACAAGCTTAGTGCTTGATACAAGTCCAAAATCCTGAGTGAAGCTGAGACACTGCAAGCCATAAATCGAGGGCCAAGTCCCACAATCCTTACACTTAGTTTTGAATTCCCCATCCTATGGTAGAAAGGATCACAGAATTCAAGCTGTGCATTCTACGGTACTTGGTGACCTTACCAAAGAGGAATTTAAGAAGAAAAATCCTACCCTGGAAAAAGCTTGATTTATGAAGAGTGAAGTAGGCAGGGTTCCCAGGTTCCCAGTGATCACTGTTACTTGAAGCTTGTTCCCAGGACATTTGATCCTTTGGCTACACTAATTTCATTTGAAGAGTAACAACTATCAAGCTCCTAGCTTGGACTAAAGTTCTGGAGTAGCCCAAAAGCTCCAGAGTATGGCAAAGGAGATTCCAGATGTGCAAGTAACAACACTCAACACAAGTCTCATGTTGCATTTTACTACCTGATTAGACTTCACCACATTGGATGAATTGGCTCTGCAGTCTCAGGAGTCTGTAGTATTAATATCTTCTTGGGGTTTTTTTTTCCCCTAAAGGTCTCAACATCTAGCAAACAAGCTGATCTCAAACTTAAGCAAGAAGCAAGCATGGATGCAGCAATCCTGTTCATTCTCCCTTCATGTATTAATCACTTCTGAAACAGCCCAGTGCAACACAAGCACTTCTAGTTAGATTAAAACTTACCACTGCATTCTTGCATGGGGAAAAAAAAACCCCAAGGAATCTTATGTTTGATACAGTGTACACTGACATTTTCCTTTGGAAATGATTCTGGAATTCTGTTCCCTGACTTTATTTAAATTTCAAAAGAAAAAAAAAGTCCCCACATTCATTCCTGAGTTGAAAACTGTTAAGCTTTCCCTGCCAGCAAGGTAAAATAAAGCTCCTCCAAGCACAACCAAGTAAAAAGTTGCTACAAAAAAAACCCCCAAACAACACATCAAGAGATGCCAAAGCAAATCTGACACCACTGCGTGAAGAAAAGATTCTCACCCTCATCTAAGTCAAAAATTATGAGTCTCTACTTTTTGTTAAGTTCAGACAACTCTTCTCACACACAGGTTGATGCAGAATTACCGACTAATTGTTCACCGCACAACTGAAGAAACAGGAAATAAATGTGTGCTTGGAGATCTCCACAGAGACAGATTATCAGATAACAATGGGTGCTTGGAAACTTGCTAAAGGGGAATTTTGTCTTCATTGGTTTTATTTGCTTTTCCCACCAGAGCACTCAGAACATATTCAGTCATATGTTTAGAGCTGCCATGGCCTTCACCAAGGTGACTTGGTTGGTTGAGTCTGTCTCTCTCCTGCTGTTATTTGTACAGTTACTCTTGTTGGCCAAGACCTTTTGTCGGTGCCTTTCCTCCTGCCGCTTCTTCTTCTCTAGCCGCTGCTGCTCCTTCTTTTGTTTTTTAGATACCTGAAAGGGAAGGATGAAAACACAAAGCTGAAAACACACATTTTCTGCTCAGCTGGAGAAAAATAATACATAGGAAAGGAGACAAGCAGATATCAAAGCAAGCTGCCAGACAGCATTTATTCCAAACTACTTATCTGGATTCTATTTTGTGTCATTTTGGGAAGAGTGCCACATGTCACAAATAAATGTTTGTATCAGAGAAGTCACAGCTGTAGCAGCAACGAAATCTGGGAAGGGGAAGCTCTTTTTAATTGAAAGGAGAAGAGTTGCTGATTAAGCAATCCTAAGCATTCCCCTAATCATTAAAGGATGTGCAAATCACTGCCAAGACACCCTTCACATACCTTTGGGTTTCTGCTGGCTCGATTCTCTTCATCGGATCTAGCCTGTCCTTCTTTATTTTCTGTTTCACCTTCGTGCAAACTCCGATTTCCAAAGATTCTTGAACCAGTTCTGTTGTCTTCCTG